TGTAGGAGCGTCGGCAGCAATTCAGCAGAATTCTTGTCACTTCCGTGGAAGTCTTATATAAGAATTGAGTAAGATTCTTATAAGATGCTTGGAAGATTCTTATATCAGAACCGATCACTAGGGCAGTTAAAAATAAAGATAAAAGCAAAAAACAGCTATTGCGAGCGAATTTTTTATACAAATCGCGACTTTCTCGCGAGTCGAGGGAGAGTCGCGCCGCGACAGCAGGACTCGCACCGCGAGAAAGACAAATCGCGATTGATTAACTGATAAAAAACGCGAGTCGTGTAGCGATTATAGCGAATGTATAGAAAAACTCGCGTTTCATCGCGACTTTATAGCGATCTCGAAATTAGCGGGAAATTTCGCGAGCCTATAAGCGATCGCGTTACGCGTTCGCTCCGCGACTTTTTATCGCGACTTCATCGCGATAGTCGACATGGGTTGTTTTTACTATTTGAGTCAAACAGAAATATGACGAATTTTTGCTCAGTTCTAAAATAGTGCAAATGGACAACAAATGCAACTATAAGAATGAAAATGGAAACGACGAACACCGAGATGAATATCAATGTTAATCAAATTAGAAGATGTCTCGTTCCTGTTCCCCATACTGTAACTAATGTATTCAAACCGAAAGAATCAGTGATGTCAAGTTTCACAGTTCCGCAGAAATTCTAGAACTAACGAGGGAAGGTATCCAAGTGTTCAAGCCGTTTAGACTTCATCTTTTGGCCATAAGCAGACCTCGATGAGGTATGGAAAACCTGAAAAGGATTCATCCCCTTGACTCTGAAAGACCCGGTTTTCGGGAAAACCAGTTTTTGAGAAACTCTAAAAAGCAACCGAAACCTTTTCTTAATGAGGCGTAATTGTAGCCCGCAAATTTCTGATTAAAATGAGACATCTCCGAGCTCTACATGACTTTTCTTTGCAAAGTTATAGAATTTACAAGAAAAGCCCTAAATGTTCATTGTCAGCTGAAAGCTGCAGAAATCAGAAGAAATTAATTTAGGTTTCAGTTCTGCCAGATTCTATAGAAAAGTTGAAAAATACATTTTCTGAGTCAAACTCTGACGCACTTTCAGATGAGATAAGTTTCATTGTTTGCCTCAGACCTGCGCTAAAAAGTGCTGTCGTACACACGGGAGTACCCACCTATTCCAAAAAAATAGGGATAATGACGAATTCCAGTAGTTAGAAAAGTGAAACACAACACTAGATATATCGTCGTTGTTTCTCTCTTTTGGTGGCTTAAATGGACTAATTGTTGTGCGAAATGACAATGGGTCCTTTATATGTAGGTGTTAGTATGAAAGCCGTGTCGCTCTTCTACAAGTCAGTATAGTTTACTCGAGAAGTTTCTTAAAAGGAACTTTCTTGTTTAAGTGGGAGTTTTTACTTTAAACAATAAGATGCATGTTTCTTCCTCTAATTGCTTCTCGTACTCTTTCTTTACTCTGTCCAGATAGTTGATTATTCCATAAGACCAAATGTCCAAGTGTCTTATTAATTTGAAGTGTTTCAATTATCTTGTCAACACTTTTATCGCTAATATTATTTTGCCATACGTATAATCCTGTCAGTGTTCTATTCGTATTTATCAGTGCTTCACACAAACAGAGCATACCATCATCACCAATTTCATTTTCAGGTAGATGAAGTTTTAAAAGTGTTCTATTAACTTGTAATATATCGGCAAGATAATGTACACCTCGATCAGTTATCTTATTAAAGCTCAAATCAATTCTAGTGCAAATATGATCATTTTTCAGATCTTCTGCAATCACTTTCACATCATCGTCTGTTAATTGTAAGTCCTGAAGAAACCAAAGTACTTCTCCGTGATATTTCTTCAATAATTCATACACTTTGATACCGTCATCATCATCATTATTAATCTCTACTTGCATATTGGCCAAATATGAGTGCAAACTTTTTAAAGGTGACGGAGGAGAACTTGTGAGTTCATCGACGTTGGCCATGGTGGTAGCAGCAGCAGAAGTAAAGGAAAGCTCCAGGAGATGGGCTGAAAAAAGTAATATACTTTTTTTCGAATTCCACTTCTTACTCATTATTCATTTTTCAAAAACATGAAAAATAGAAACAACGTTCGATATTCTGTTTTTTTGCTGACTGAGACAAACACAAAATTGAGGTGGATGAGAGCACTTCTAATGATGCCAATGTATTCACTAAAAACAAAAACGAGTCCTCTCTTTTTTCAGTGCCAAAAAATCATGCAGTAAACAGAAGCATTTTTCGTCAGTAATAAGTTTCTCTTCAGCTACTTAGCCTTTCTTCTCCATTCTTGATTTATTGTATGGACAAGAAAAGAAAAGTAGATGAGAACACCGTGAATAGAATTATTTGTTTTCTCTCTTGCTTATGCAACACAGCGGATGAGAGCACTTTTAATAACGCCACTGTATTCATCAAAAAACCTATAACATTTCTTTCCTTCTTTTTCCAATAAAGAAAATAAAGCGTGGCATAAATATATCCAATCTTTCATCTTCATTTATTGCACAACATTTTTTTTAATAGTGCACCTGGAAAATATCGACTACAAGCAATCTACAAGTAAGCTACAAGTATATCTGCCTTAGCACCTTTATTCCCACAAAATGCCTGCTCTCTTCGCAGTATTCTGTCTCTTCACAAATGGCTACAGCAGCAAGCATCCCATCGGCATCTCATCAGCAAATAATAACAAGAAAGTAATTTGGCTCTGACAGTCAAACCCGATTCCCTTTCATGATAAAAAGAAAAAGAAGAGTTGAAACGTTATTCAGACTTCAGAAATGAATATATTGAGGGGACATACTACCGGCATTTTCGTTCTTCCTAAAAAATCGGTCATAGTTTTAGTATGACTTATACTATTGTTGATTCTGTGAAATCGAATTGAGGGAGGTGAATATGATCGATGGACCTAAAATCTCTCTCTAGAACTTTACTAAACAAAAACAAGAAAAAACAAACAAACAGTTTCTTTATTTATTAACAGAGTATCTATACAGTGAAGAAAAAAACATGTATGATTAACAAACAACAAAAAAAAAGAAAAAGTAGAAATCGGAACAGTGCTCGCAATCTTTTCGATCTCAAAAGGTCAATCATTCATAGAAAGCAAGTCCTTCAAAGAGAAAAACCGTCTGTCGCTTGTTTCTTGAGGTTGCTGTGTTGCGTACTCTTGTTTTATTACAGATTTCTATGAGTAAGCACTCATAAAGCAACTGCACTCTAAAAAGAAAGGTATTTTACAAGACTAAAAAAAGGATATCAGCCATCCATGATCATGGATGGCTGATATCGACGACGACAATCAGTGAATTAATTTATTAAATAATTAATTCGATACCATTATCGATACATGCCATTAAATGTAGATGGAGAGGAGCAAGAGAAATAATGACTCAAAGTTTACTTACTATATCAATATGCATTTAAATAATATGTTTATTTGAAAATACCATTTGATACAAAGTTGTTGATTCTCCTCCAAAAGACCTCTCCTAGTAAGAAAAACATGCATATTTATAGTCTAAGAAGAGGAATAGGAGTGGTCGATTAAGACAAACCAATAATGAACTAGGTCATGTTTATACATAAAAGAAAATAAGAGAAGGAAGGAAGGAAAAATAAAGGTTGCACCGTGTATTGCCTGTGACTAGCTACTGAGGTGACTCGCTGTCTAACACTTAGTAAACTCTTGAGGAGTAAAAAACTGCTTAAGTTTTGAAAACTTATAGTAAAATCGAACTCTACCTTATCTTACTGGCGAAAACAGTATATAATTTCTTCAAAATCCCACTTTAAAAAAGAGAATTTGTCGAAAAGTTGATGCGAACGATTGTAGAACTGTTGGAGATTCGTGCGATCTCCATGTGAAAGACAGACATTAAATGAAACTGGAAAGAAACGACCGGTGAGATGCAATGTGAGTTGTTGTCGAGAGTAGAAACACTTTTCTCAACTACTTCAGTTCTCCGATGGTTTCCGTCGAGATCGAACTCAAATACTGAAGTGAATCGATCCATTCGATCCAATGCGTCATTCTCTCAGTGTGGAGTTGTCATTCGAACAACAATAAACCGTCGACTGATCGATTTCATCAGTCAAAATTTGAAAACTCTTTTGAGTCATTGAACAATTCTTTTTGATTGTGAATCAATGATCATCACAGACGAACGATCCTCGCCAATGCTGTCGCCTGTCGCCTGAGAAGAAACTCTGGGCAAAGATCTTCCAACTTCCATCGAATCGAACATTTCTCTATGGATATAAAGAACTCGGGTTCCTCTGTCCGAAAAAGACGAAAATAAAGTACATGTCTGTGTGTATATCACTATGAATAACGAAAAAAACAAAACACGTGTTAGCCTGTTTTTCTCGAAAAATACGCACATTCTGCTAGAACAAGAAACTCGCACTCACCCGACAAGACAAAAAGACGAAAGAACACTTTCGAGTATCCCCGATGGCGTCAGGTGGGGATTCCAGTCGAAATCTTATTTATCGAAATGGACTGGTGCCACACTGGTCCGGTTCTTAGTCGATCGATGTTCTCCCGTCCAAGACCACTTATTTGTCATTTTCGTGTTTTATATGTTCTTGCCGATCGCTCATTGTCTTTTAATGATGTGACCTATGATGAAAATCGACACTGATCAACCATATTGAAGTTAAACTATTCGCGGGATTCTGATTACTGTAGGTGGATTAATTCATCGATACATTGATGATTACGAAAATGCAAAGTATGACTTCACCTTTTTGGTACAGAATTTCGATTATCTTCAATGATTAAGAGTGATTCTTCGAGGATGCATTTTCTGGGTACATCGTCAAATAATTTACACATTCATTATGCAAACAATCATAACTATCGACGCGCAGCGGCTTTAGTTTCATTATTTTTTTCCATAGAGTAAAAACACCACCACTAAAGTGACATGTTTTTCTTTCTTGTTTCTGCTTATTCTGTAGAAGAAACCGAAAAATGACTCACAAAGTGCATAAGAATGAAATAAGATAAAACTCTTTACTGTATTAATATTTAGTGAAATTTGTTGTATAAGAAAGAATTCTAATCACCGTTAAAATAACAATGATTCCAGGTACATTAGTTATAAGAGAAAAATGGAAAGTGGAGGCTTTATTGCTCACGGTTATTCTAAAACATCAACATCGTTATGGGTTATAGCATATTGAATTGAAAGGTCAGCAAAGTGTCGAACATTGCTCACAACGAGTAACATTACACCGAGTATAATCATATGCTAAAATTACAATTTTAACATAAGCTATATGTTGCTTGATCAATAGCTGAAAAAGGTATGGTCTTTGTTCTTCATGAAAAATCGAAGTTTTGTTTTTTCTTGGGACTTCGACACCGACTCGCGACCTACAAAGAGAAAAAATCTAATCGTCTAATTACACGGTGGTAACACTTACAAAACATTCTACTAGGGATGACGATTTTAAGCTTTTAAGTTCTTATTGTTTCTTCTTGAAAAGTAATACAATTTGTACTCTTTTCATTTACTGTTATTATTATAATAAGTTA